CCAGGGCCAGGGCCAGGGCCAGGGCCAGGGCCAGGGCCAGGGCCAGGATTAGGGTCAGGGCTAGGGTTAGGATTACAGTTAGGATTAGGGTTAAAGTTAGGGTTAGAGTTCTCCTTCCCACCCTTAACTGAGAACACTTTCCTGGCCTCTGACACCACTTCCACCACCACCGTTACCTCAGTCATTCTCCCAGCTCTGCATCTTATTCCTTTACTGCCAACTTTATCCATTTCTTAAATACCTGGGCCCTATATATCCCTTGGGCACTGGGCTATAACCTCCACCTGAGCAGAGTTAAAGCCCTCTTTCTTCCCCACTGGGTCTCTCTTCATAGGACCAGTCTCCTGGACACCTGCATTTGTAGTTGGGACTACTTAGCTCCTCTTCCCTCCCTCCCAAGTCCTGGGCAAGCCTTCCGTTGGCTGGACGCTGCTTTCATACATCACTTCCCTGATCCCTTTTCCTGCCCAGCTGACTCCTCAGGGTGGCTGCCAAGGCTATCACAATCTGATCCCACCCTGTCTGTTCCAACATCTTTCCCATCACTCCTCAAAACGGTAGTCCATACCCATGACAAAACCAGGAAGCAGTGTGCCTAGCGTTTCAACTCACCTCACAAGTGGAAGTCCCGGCAAACTTTGCACTTATATTGTCAGCTGGTGGCTGTGATGGGCACAAGGTGACACCAGTACAAACAAGGGCATCCAGAAAGACCCAGCTCCTCAGGCTTGTCTTCTGCAAACTCCACTGGAGTCTGGACACCTGCCTTCAGCTTCGGTTCTGCCAGCCCTCAGGAGAGCTTGCTCCTGAAAAGCTGTTCAATGCTTCAGTGGCTACAAAGTGACAATGGCTGTCCTTGTTTGTTCTTAATAGGAAAGGAATGCTTGAAGCTGAAGGCTGCAGAAGTTTGGTGCTGGGCACAGGCGGTAGACTCCATACAGGAACCACAGTGAGGCACCTGAGTGCAGTCCTTATGGGGTTCATCAGGAAGTTGACACTCAATCTGAACCATAAAGATACCAAGCTGAGCCACCATTTGAAATTTGTCAAGGCTGAGGAGGGGTCCCATGTAGTGAGAATGTTGGTTTCTTTAAAAACAGAAATGTTATGGGAGTGTGTTATTTTAATGCCAGGTGTGGGATATGGGCTGCTTCAGGGGCGTGATTTTGCCAGCTGCAAATAGTTTACATTTGGATTCTGGGGACTCTTGAGAATGTATAAATGCAAGAGCCCCAGAGGGGTGCAGTGGCTGCTGCTCCCCCTGCTATGCTGGTTGGAGATATCCTGAAGATCAATATTGCCCCCAAGGAACTCAAGCCCCTAATCAGCAGGAAGTAGTCTAAAGAGACTGACAGTCCCCTTTCCCCTCTAGCCTTCTTTCTCTACCTTGTGTTGGGGGTTGGAAGGGATAAAGGTGGAGAAGGATGGTAGAAATAGGAATCCATAAAGTAGCCAAAACTCCAGCAGAGAACCTTCCATGTTCCCTCATGAAGTATTCCAAGGTTAATCCAAGGGGGACCCCACCCCCAGGAACCTCTACAGTGGTCCTTCTGTGTGAGTGGACACAGGTGCACATGTGGAGGTCAGCCTCAGGTGTCATTCCTCAGGTGCCACCCACCTTGGTTTTCTTGAGTCAGGTCTGTTATTTGACCAGAAGCTCAAAGGCTAAGCTGGCTGGCTAGCTGGACCCCAGGGAGCCACTGTCTCCTGGCATTGGGGCTGCATGTGTGGGCTGGCTTCTATTTTTCACTGGGATGATGACAGCAGATGTGGCTCTGCCCCTCACCTGGGTAGCACAGTAGAGTGGACCCTGCTTGTGGGGTTGCATGTGGGCCAGCCACAAGGGCATGAGTGTATGACGGCTAACTCTGGTGGCAGGGGAGCTGGAGTGTGTCACAGTGGGTCCCATAGTATACACTTTTGTCCACACTTCTTTGCTTGCAATGAGTCATTAGTCTGGTTCCAAGCCTCTGGCTTCTGCGACTCTATCAAAACTAGATCCTCACCAGGACTCCTCTAGGACATCCTGTTGTTGCCTGTTTTGTGGAGACCCTACAGCTTTGGATCTTCAGGACTGACTCCTTCACGTGCTCCAGCAGTTCATAGATGGGGTAGATGTTGGGGTGGGACAACACAGAGCCCTGGATCTGGGCCTGGGTGGGAGCTGAGTTGGTCAGACTGCCATCGCTCCTGCACCCACACTACCTAGGGTGGTACTCCCAGGTGGAGCTCTCCAGCACTGCCCCGACCAGCTCACCCAATGCTGGCAGCCAGCAAAGGGTAGAGCCAATTCCCCAGCTCCCATGCCCTCAGGTCAGCTCACCCACACCCAGGCCACCAGAGCCAGCTCTACTGTGCTGCCCAGACAAGGTCCAGGGCCAGATCTCCCAAGTGCTGCAGCAGGCGAGAGACAGGACCAGCTCTCCCGCTCTGATGACCTTGGGGCCAGCTCTCCTGACTGCTCCATAGGTGGTAAGGAACAAGGGGCTGGGCCAGCTCTCCTGCCCTTGGGACTGTGTCACCAACAAGCCCAGCAACCAGGTCCATCTGTCCCCAAAGCCTAAGCTGATATTTGGGATCCAACAGGTGTCTGACGGTTTTGAATGGGTGAGATTTGCTTCTCCATCAGAACATGAGATTCCTCCGTAGTAAGGAAACAGAAAGCAGTAGTTATGCTGGAAGCAGTGGGGAACACAGCAGAGAAACACTTTAGGTAGAGGCCTTACCTTCACTCACACTCACATGCATGAGGTGGACAGGCTATAGACTGTCCTTCCATTCAAGATGGAAAAGGGCCTGCACTTAGAACTGCATGGAGAAGCCAGAAGCTTGAAGACTTTTGACTGCTGGATGAAACTACCCACAAATCCGAGAGCTGAATCACAAGAGCATCTCATTTATTTAGTATAACACAACCCAGTGAAGCAGTACCCGGGAGGCAGGATGTTTGTGGGGAGAACTATCTGAATCTGTTGCCCCCTACCCCTGCCATCTTGGAAATCCAGTGACTAAGAAAAACATCAGTCTTTAGTTAGGTGTGATCATTTATTCATTCACCAAACATTTTCTAGGCAGTCTATGAGCTGTGAGCTCATGCTAACCCGTGGCATTCAAGTATTGGATTTGGTCCTTGTCCACATCAAACAGGCCCTCGGCCTTCCTGCAGCAGGAGCTGGCTGAGCCTCTGCCATGCCTGTCAAGCTGCAGTCAATAGCTCTACAGCAGAAAGTACAAACATCATCCACAGACACTTGGCTGAGGGACCACACCATGTGGCCAAGTAGGACTCTGACAGATCCAGACGGGAAACACAGTGAGCTCAGATGTGGGCGGCCCACAGCCAGCGCAAGGCACCTTTAAAAGTTTCCTGGTGTTATTTACAGTTTCAAAGTAAATTTACTTTGTAAGCATTGGAGAACCCTTTATTTAATCATGTCTTGAAATAAAAGTTCACAGAACTGGGGCTTTTAAACCACAGTACTGAGATTTATAACGACCGAGGAACAGGAACTAAGAGAAGGCACACACACGACTGAGAGATGGAGGCCATCAGAGTCCAGACAGCTTCAGCCAGCGGTGGTGGGCATGCTCAGAGCACTGAAGGGACTCAGGGAGGGGAGGGGGCTGTCTCTGGCTCCTGCTTCACCTGCACACGCTGCTTCTGACCATCATCTGCCTGAGGCTCATTTCCTTCCGATGAAGCTTGGAGTCTCACATTGACCTGTTAGGGTTTGCAGAGACTGTGACTACCGCCATCTTGTTTGTCTCTCAGATGCTGCCAGTGACCAGGCACACAAACATCTATAGAACTACATCCTCAAGGGCCTAACAGCAGCCCACTTGTTCCAGTGGCCAAAGAATCCCAGTATATTCAATACAACAGTATTTGACCTGGAGTTTAAGTGTGTGTGAGTGTATATGTGTTTGGGATGTGAGTGTGTGTATGTGTGTGAGTGTGGGTGTGAGTGTGTGTGTGTGTGTGTGTGCACACACACTCGCTCACGTGCATGTGCTAGTGGGCACACATGCTACTGGGAGCTATACCCCAGCCCAACAATACAGCTTTGACAATTAGGTACTCACAGGCCTTGCTTCTTGAACTCGTCTTAAAATGACACCTTCTGCCAACAGAGCCTTCCCCGTTTCTACAAATAACTTCTCTTCATCTGTTTCTCCAAGGTTCTGTAGCTCTAGGTACTTCTCCACAAACCTGGAATTCCAAGCAGCTCATGCTAGGCCTGTGTTGGGGCTATAGAGACGCCTGCTACAAAGTACCCAGCAGGGCCCAGAGAGACCTGCCTAGAGGTGCACCCCTCCTCAAGAAGCACCCCTCCTGAAGGAGAACTCTACACAACTCCTCAAAACGACAGCTCAACCCTCGGGAGGAGCTGGATTTACTCAGGCCTGGGAAACGCTTACCGCTGACAGGTAGACTTGAAGTTTGGGTTGAAGAGATCAAAAGCTTTGTGGCCAGATCCATAGGTTGAAAAGAATTTCCTAGGAAATATAGAAATAGTATGAACCTCCAATTCTAGGCATGGAGAGTGGGGCACAGGGAATACAGAATAACTGCTAGGCCCCCGACAAGTTCCAGAGCCTCAGCCAAAGAACAATGCATGCGTCAATGGACAAAGGAACCTCAGGGAGAGCCAACACTCCCTCATCCTTCTGCCCCACCTGTCCCCGCCTCAGAGAACAACACTAACCAGATTCATGTGTCACCACATTCAGAAATACCTCACCAACAGATAACACTACAGATGTATCAGCGCGCGCGCGCGCGCGTGTGTGTGTGTGTGTGTGTGTGTGTGTGTGTGTGTGTGTG